TTGACCATTTCTGGCCAGCAACTTTCAGCGTCATTAAGCCGCTGCGCCACCGCGTCCCCCATGTAGAGAGTTGTTAAATTCACAAATGTTAAAATTATGTTTAAAGGGGAGGATGTAATATGTTGTTTCAAAAGGAAAGCTGTGTTTATATATTTATTGCATTTTTGAACTGCATAAAAAACAACTCCTTCGAACATACTGCTGTGCATTATAGAAATACTGACAGTCTACATCTTGAAGATAGAGAATTACATTTTTCTTTTCTTTTTAGAATCTCAAGACACAGCACTCTCTAACATTTATTATAAAAACAGGAATGTAAAGTAGTTGCTGCTACCATACCTCTCAGAATTGTCAAGTAATTTCAGAAATGGCAATAAATATAATGAATCAGTATAAAATTGTTACGTGCTTGGATGAAGAACTCTCCCAAAATTATATTGAGATTTATTATTCTGCATTAAAATGATTGAGAAATCAGCTGCTTTAATTTCAGGAAATGTTTCACACTACTACTTGATATAAGAAAACTGAACAGGATGTTGACTCAGTTACTCTACCCTGATTTTAAGAGATGATGAGATTTTATACAAACACACACTTGACAGGAGTCAAACGACAGACTAAAACATATAGAAGAAAATACTGTTCCTCTTATGGTTACCTAACTAGTTAATTTTAGCAAGGCTTATATCATGCCACAGGCAGAGGAATCCTATGCCTCCCTAAAGCACTCCAACTTCAGAATGTTCCAGAATGTCCTATGCTTTATTGCAGTCCTGCAAAACTTGTAGGGGGAAAAGGGTCCCAATAATAAATTAAAAATCATTGCAGGCTGCAAAGGAATATTGGCATGTAGATCAGCTGTTTGGTAGTTAGCGGGGCAGCAGCAGCAATGGAATTGTGACATTGGTGAGGCCTGAAGGTGCTGGAGGTGCTCGGCAGTGTGCCTTTTGGGGAAAAGGCGGCAAATTTATTTACTTTTTAAAAAACACTGGCAGACCACCCAAGTCTGCTTGGCGAACCACATGTTGTGCAGGCCTGCTCTACTGACTACATATCAGCAGAATAAAAGCAATCTTTCCATCTTTCTATATTTTTCCTTCCTTGTTTTCTGTTACTATTGTTTGAAAACTTTCTTCTATTGTTTTCTGGTCTCGACACTTTAATGTGTGTCAAGAACAATGGCTTAAGTATCATTTGGTTAAATACTTTTCTTGCCCCTTACTCATTTGCAATAATGATCCAATTTGGGGCTTAGAAAGAAACAGCTGGTGAAATGGCATTACGCCATATCAACAGGCTTTTGATAAGAATTTGAATGGTTCTTCCTATCAAAAGATTGATGAAATAAGGAGTTGTGTTTGCATAATTCATGCAAATATATTAAAGCTGAAGGATTTCTGCAGTATTTGCTGATTTGAAATTTCAGTTTGGCAATGTCTTGATAGTATCATGGGGATGCTTTTCTTAAAAAAAAGAAGTCGAATTCCACTGTTCATGTCAGATGAATTGGTTAAAGCAGGTAGCATGTAATCTGATGAGCACAAACTTTTTCTAAAGAAGTTGGAGACTTCTGAGATGCTATAGGCTATATGGGAGGAATTAATCTGTTTATGCAAAGTGATTAAGAAAAATAGCACTTCAGTGTTTTACACACTGCTAACTTAATATAACCTAAACATAACCTGTCCAAATCAAACTGTTTCTCTTAGTTCTACTTGATGACTTAGCTTATATAAGATTTCATATTTACAGATTACAAACATGATTACATTCTTTACTGCATGGAATGGTCTGGTTCCAACAAAATATTAACCACAGAAACTGTGGAGACTCATCTACAGGGACCTTTGGTTCTAAACACTACAGGTTCCTCTTGTATGAAGAAAAAATTAAACGTTTTAAAGAGCCTGAATCCTTGATTTGTTCAGTTTAACAATGATTAAAACAGATAATCAAATTTAGATGTTTTGGTGATTTATGGCTAGCTCTCAAATGGAAATAAAAGTATTTTAATGATTTTAGCTCTCAAATTGGATGAAATACATATATTTTAAAATTATTATTTAAATTAATAGAATCCTTAACAACGTCTGAATTCAAACATCATCATTTTTGTCTATCATTTGTTTGCTTTTGTCTCAGTGTCACTAAGTGATGCACATTGGTGCCAAAAATCCTAACTACTCATACAAATTAATGGGATCAGAGCTAGCAGTGACTGATGAAGAAAGAGAACTTGGAATAACCATAGACAGTTCAATGAAGGTGTCAACACAGTATGCATCCTCTGTAAAAAAAAAAAAAAAAAAGCCAACAGCATGTTAGGGCTAATTAGTATAACAAGGAACAGTACTGAAAATAGAGATGCCAATATCTATCAATATATAAAACTATCTATGTATAAATTAATGGCACAACTGCATCTGGAATATTGTGTGAAACACACCTCAAAAAGGGTGTAGTGGAAGTACAGAAGGTTCAGGTGAGAGAAAGTAAGATGCTCAGGGGGCTAGAGCAGCTTACTTATGAAGGAAGGTGTGATATTTTGGTTTTTTAGAAAGGAGGTGAATGAGAGGGAACATGACTGAAGTGTATAAAATTATGCATAGTAATTTTACTAAAGTAGACAAGAAGAAGTTATTTTCCACTTCTGAAAATAGTAGAACCAGAGGCCACCCAATAAAATTGAATCCTGGAAGAATCAGGACAAAGTGTATTTTTAAAAACACAATGCATAATTAAGCTTTGGAATTCTTTATCACAAGATGTGGTACTGGCTACCAGCTTGGCTGGTTTCAAAAAAGGGGTTGAACTGATTCATGGAAGTCATGAGACTCAATGGCTAATAGCCTTGATAGCAGTGTGACTGTCTCTGAAGGCCATCTGCTGGGAGACTAATGGGCATCTTTGTGCAGTTGGTTGAGCACTGTAAGAACAGACTGCTAGACTAAATGGGCCAGGGGTCCAATCCAGCAGGGCACTTGTTCTTATATTCTTAACACAGTCGTTGTGGTTTGCAAGACACAGTATTTTAGGTGAACTGAAGTAATTGTGATTTATTCAATCAACCGTGGATAAATAAATCCAATCACTGGTTCATATGTTGAAGCTTCTA